ACTTTGGTGAGCAAAAACTATGAGACATTTACTTTGTCATCATTCTCTTGTTAATATGCATCGAATGAGCTACCTATAATTTCACATAAAAAGTTCAACTTCAAAATGTGACCGCAGATCAAGGTCATGCGGCTCATGCCCTTACTTGAGAAGTTCATAATGGTCATCGACCGATCCGTATGGATGATTAACACCTTCAAGACAATGTCATAACTCTACCTGTCATAACTGATGTTGAGCTTTTTTAAAAGTCTTTTGACCTAGCCCGACCCCTTGAGTGGCCGCTGGCCATCAATTGCACGCTGCCCATCAGATATGGGCAGAATGGTCGTGTTTCTGTAAATGCATATGCTGTTGTTTTTTACGTACCTCTTGAGATCAAGAGATATTTGTCCTTTTCCCCGATTTGGCTGGTAGTGATGACAATGATCTGACCTTTCGTTGTTGGTAAGGGGCCCCATTTGGTTGAGGGGGGCCCACTTTGCTGGGGGGGCCCATCGCGAACGTCTCTCACCCCCGTCGCCAGAGTTCTGGCTGCGCCACTGGCCGCGTACCTACATGCTCACAATATGAAATGCTAATTTTGTTAGGTTATCAAGTAAGATAATCTTCTTACTTTATCATCGTGTTTACATTTTGAGTTCAGTCATGACAAAGCCAGTCGCCGCGGAGCCGTGGTATGTGTTGAAACACGCCTGCCTATAAAGGACACTTATAGCGGGCACTATTTCACCCATGGACGTGAATTTTAGGCACTAACTCCGACCCCGATCAGTTCGGCAATGCATAATGCCTTTGGCGTTATAGCAAATATACAATGTCGTAAGTAAGGGATGTCGCTAGTAAGGGATCTCGCTAGTAAGGGATTGGGCCATACGTTATAATCTTTTCATGCCTAAAGCTCAGTGAGGGTTTATGCCTCGTACTTGTCTTCCAATAAGAATTTAAACAATTAAGTACCTATGTTAAGTTTGAGCCGTTAGGGAGGCTTACAGTCGGCTACAGTAAGTTGTTTGATGAGCGCCATAGTTCTGAAGAAACCGCAAAGTAGAAGGTGTAACATGTTATCTCACATCGTGTACCAAACTGCCCCACAACTGTTTAATTTACCCCGAAAACCGTGCTTTGGTTTTTCGTATTTCACATTAAAGTGGATAACCACTTGCATGGAAGTCAGTTAACATTTGAATATATTAGGGGAAAGTGGGTGTATTGCGCCCTCCTAACCAATTGCGCCCACCAACATTCCCACGGATTCAATGGCATGTTTAGAATTTTGTGTTCGAAAACATTATTTTCACCACTGGATTGTTCATTTTACGGCCCAAACACTCCGATGAAGCCAATCAGCAAGGCTCATTACGCCATCAAAGATGTTATGGCGTTTTCTTAACTTTTTTTGCAGTATTTTGAACCGTTGGCTATACAAATTTGCGATATTTGTGTGATTTTCAGAGTGATATTTAGATAGAAAAACCCTTTTTTCATTGTATTTCACTGAAACCGTAAACTTCCTGCAACATCTTTATGATAACTTCTATGCTTTTATTAAAAAGTAGGGTAAGGTGCCTAATTAGCGACCCCCTTAATTTGAATCGTCATTGCTCACGCTCTGTGGGTGCCACTGTATTACTGGCTTGATTTTCGGAGAGATCGTTCATTTTTCTATTAAAATATAGTCATTTTCTGCCCAAATATTCACTAACTCATTTGTAGTGAGCATTTTGGCAAACCATTGCAAAAAACGCTAATAGGGAACTCTTCCCGATTAGCGACCGGGGAGGGTCGCTAATAAGTCTATGGGTTTCCCCATATTAAAAATGGCAAAAAATGCGACGCCTGAAAAGATGAAATATGATCTCAAAAAGGTAACCTATACGCAAAGCACCCAATCACTCGAACATGCACGTTTATCCAACACATTTACGTAAGTAAAAACTGATCACGTGATGCACCGAAGGCGAAAAGAAGGTGGAAAGCCAAGTTTTGCGGGCTATCTTGTATGATATTCGAGGTCCGCGCTGAATTCGGCACGCGGCAGTCGGTGACGACATTTGGCATCCCCTGCCACACATTGCAAGCTTCAGCAACACCTCATTTTCATTTCTCTCTTTTCCCCTTTCTTTCCCTTCTTGAGCTATTTGCGACCGTGTCAGGCGCAAATAGGAAATATGAGTTGCGACACATTTTTAACCGCCATGCTGTGCACAGTTGAGCGATTCACTATGGGAAAACGGCAATCAATTGAAAAAGGAATGTCGATTCAGAATAAAAAAGGTGCATCATCCTAATGTGCATCGCTTTTCATCAGAGAGGGCCCAAACACACACATTTTGGATAAGAAACTCGTCATTTTTATTTAAACTCACCTGAAACGTCCCACCAGAAACATCGACTACCGGAAAATAATTCAATTTGATAACCAAAGTATGGCTGACCTTTTGACGATGTTTTTACCCAGTTTTCTCCTGCCAGTTTTTCTGTAGGGAGGTAGGTCGCAAATAGGAAAGGGTCGCTAATTAGGCACCTTACCCTACCTCAATTTTAATTGCGCCCATGGCAATTGCGCCCGGGGGCGCAAATAGAATAATGGTGTAGCCATTGTATCACGACAGTATGAATGCATTATTAACTGATTGCAATAAAGAAGGAGTTTAATGTCAGGCAAGGGAGCAGTCCGCTGTCGTCAGTCCGCAAATTATTTCTATCGTCAAACTTATAATGCAGCTGCCATTTAGGCTACGACTTGTGGTGTAATTGACAGAATACGACATTTTCAACATGGACTCAGGCGTGAGAAGTGACAGCTATGATAAAAAGTAAAAACTGATGCCATATAAAAATTCAAAACGATAAAAATTATTAATTTTGAGAGAAACGAGTGAAAATTTAACTGGCTAGGCGCATACGTTCACATATATCTAGTCGGTTACAGTAAACGTTTTCGTTGCACTTTTACAACCGTACGGACACATGTAAAGTTATCTACCTGGGCAAAAAACATCGCGATGTATATCTACATTCATTATTTATCCAGCCTGAATAACATAATAAATGTTTAAGTAAGCCGCAATGACATTAGACTGCCGGGGTGTATGCATTCCGTCTCATACACTTAACCATGTTAAAGTATAGGGCGCAATTGGGTTCTAATTGCGCCATCCCCCTGGTGCAATTTACAGCAGTTGTTGGCAAATGCGCCCTTTTGCATGTTTCTGAAAAAGCAGCTGTCAGAAGCTAACGAAACATTCTTTATTGATCGGGAGGCTCTTAAATCGAAGCCAATGAGCTCCTCTTTGAGATGGTTACCAGTGCATGCTTATATCTCCAGCGGTTTTCTTACAATTAGCGTTTTTCCTTAAGGTGGCGCAATTCACCCTCCTTCCCCTACAGCTATTATACCCTACCTACAGCTTCGTTGTAGGTATAGTTGGGACGCTATGCGACAAAAACAAGAAGTGTAGAAGCCGCACTCTCCCCTATTCCAAAGAATATATCGCGCCTAAAGACGCGCATCTAAATTAATAAAAGTTGAAATTGAGACACACGCGGCGTCCTCTCTGCATTACGCCGATCAGGAGTGGGTATAGGCTGCGGCTAACGAGCCGCGCGGAGCTCGAGCTCGGCGGTGGCGGTGGCGCCGTGAGCTCGCGTGTCGCCGGCCCGTCGCTGTGCTGAGCGGCTGAGCGTGTCACACGCAGCGTCGCCTGACGGGCCAGCCGGCCTGCACACCGCTGTACTCGCAGCATTTTCACTGGCCACCCGTAAAAAGGTGTCGACGAGGTGCGATGTGTATCAAGTAACGGTACGCCCCGACAGCCGACTCGATTCGCGCTCCGCGAGCCGCAAGCCCCCAGCTTCGCAAAGGCTGGGAGATGGAGCACCTATAATTTGAATATATTACCCACCTTAAGAATATATTATACCTTACCACCTTAGCTATCTTATATCTATTAGCTTATATTATAAGATAGCTATACCGAGCTATTTTAACAAGCTATCTTATATAGGTAATATAAGATAAGGTGGGTAATATATTCTTAGTCGAATATAAGTCAGAATTAATCAGAGGAGCCGATGCCATTTATTCTGTGAAGATAAATGTTTAACAAATACTCTACCATAAGAATATGGAATAGTTCAGCGATAAATGAACCTTTTTTATCATACCTTTATGCGGCAACTAGCCAACTAGGTACCCTATACCAAATGCATGCACTGATTGCGCTGTTCCTGAGAATGCCCGTAACGGGATTATGTAGCGACGCAATGACATAATCTGTCGGACAATAAATCTGTTAAGTGCTCACGAACTGCTCAATTTTTCCATTCAGACGGTCTTGTGCCATAAATCACTCATGCTTGCCATGCTTCCTTACACCAACCGGCACCGCCTACATGAGCGAGACTTCGTCTGAAACACGTCAGCACTTCTTCACTGGAAAATCCTGGGTGCTGATGTTCATTTCCTTAGTCGGGAGACGATCCCCACAGCGATTGTGGTGCGTTCGCATCACTTGGTCCGCATCACAGCAGGAGATCAAAATGCTGCGGACGACGAATAGTGCTTCCCATGACGCACCACTGAATGTGTGAGCTAACTAAAACGGGGCATTGTCGAACAAAACAGGCGTTAAATTCACCAGGCCGCTTGCCAGAGCTGAGAGCGTCTCCGTCCGTGTGCGCGTCTGTAGCGCCGTGGCGCGGTGACTACTGCGTGCCGCCGGCTGTATAGGTCACCACCGCGCCGGGGTGGCCCGCCGACCCCGGCTGGCGACATACTGCGTGTCGCCGGCTGTATAGGTCACCACCGCGCCGGGGTGGCCCGCCGACCCCGGCTGGCGACATACCTACTGTGTCCCACTCACCCAGCAGCGTGTCTGACCGGGCCGATAGCCGCCGCGGGCCGGGCGGGCGGCCGTGTGACCCGTCCGCTCGACAGTGGGCAGTGGGCACTCGCTCCCGAACCGGCTGACGGCCCGCTCTGTTCTCTGTTCCAGCCGTGGTGAACATCACCGGCACGAAGACAATCAAAGACAACAAGACTAGACACTACTACACCCTGCGCGGAGTGGCGTCCGGCCGCTACCTCTGCCTCAGCAGGAGGCGCCGACAGCCGTTTACCTCAGTAAGCATTACCTAGGGGAGAGTGGGGCAAAGCGGCCACCCTAACGCTTATCACGATGTCAACGCTTGATTTTTAAACTTGGAAAGATTCTTTCTATACCAATGTGATCCCTATTAAGTTGCCTTTTATTTCAACTGCGTTTTATTTCCAAAGGCTTTCACATATGAAAGATATTGACAAAACTTTAAACCTATGCATATTGGCCACTTTGCCCCATACCCTGGGGCAAAGCGGCCACCGGCGTCTCCTCAAGTCCCGATATGAGAAACAAAATAGTTGCCTCGTGTACGACTACGGTATTTGATGGTGACAAGGTTAAGCGAGGATGGATGTTTACTTTATCATCTTCCACCTGTAGGTAAACAAAGAAAGGATTTTCATGAAAAAAACATTTAATTGCATTATTTGGTAACCCATGCAACTGAAAAGTGGCCAAGATGAATGCATGAAGACACATTTGAATATAAATGTTTTTTATCCAGATGGAAGCAACTTATGGCCAATTGGGGTGTGGCCACTTTGCCCCGGCCACTTTGCCCCACGCATACCGTCCGAGACAAAAATATTCCAGCTTAGCTATTAGTGGGGTAACAAACATTAAAATTGGTAGAATACATGTACGATAACCATGCAATGCATGGACAAACTCGCTTATAAAAATTCAAAACGGTTATGGAATAACATAACATTTAAAAATTGTAAACATAGTTGGTAACCTGGCAAGAAATGCTTTTCCGTGTTTCACAGAACAATGGTGATGGGCCTGAAACCCCGGTCTGGCTCATTCGAACGACCGTGAAGAGAAGTATAATTGGAAACCATAAATTGGAACTGACGCCAGCTATGAAGGGCTAAAACGATGGGTGGCCGCTTTGCCCCGGGTGGCCGCTTTGCCCCACTCTCCCCTACATGTATAGGTCGCCGGCAACGGTCAGGGCCGTAGCATTAGTTTTTCATATTGTCTAAAGGCAGCCTGGTTGACCCCCGTCCAAAAAAAAAAAAACAGCGGTGCTAAAATAAGCCCGGGTATTGTGCACTGTGCATGATATGATCCATGGATCAATAGCAATAGCAATAGCATTAGCAATAGCAATAGAGCAAATCATAGCAAAAATGGCGAAAAATGTTACGCTCGAAAACATGAAATAAGATACTTAAATATAACAAAAACGCAAAGCACTTAAATCCTTAAGTAAATATTAATTATGTTCTATTTTGATAGTTTTAAGAAAAAAAAGTAAGGAAAAATTATCGCGATTTTTCGTCCGACTTTGGCAATTTTCATAAATCGGCGTTATAACTCGTAAACCAAAAGCCTAGAGTCGCAGTAAAGCGTATTCGATAGCTCTTTCAAAGCTATTTCGCTGAAACGTCCTCAGACACGACTGCAGCTGACAGTTAACAGTTAACAGTGAAGGGCCAACAGTTAAGCCCACAGAGTGCGAAAACTATGCGCTGCACTCCATGCGCTGCGCAAATGGAGGTTCCCTAAACCCGAACCGCCAATACATCAGTATATTGCCAAATTGTCAGGGAACTCAGATTTGTTTTTCAATAGAAAAACACAATTCTAAAGAATAGTGTTTTAACTATTGACAACAAACCTTCGGTTATTTAGCTTGTCGGCAATTAATTAGTCAACTTGGACAATGGAGAAATAATGTCCTTTGAGGAAGCAAAAGCTACTTATGATCTGAAAGGGACAATAATAGATTATCTAGGTCTGGTACATAGTCTGCCTGTTGAATGGAAAACCAGACAAGGCAAAGTAAAGGAAGCATATCCTATTATTCACCCAAATGTTCAAGCGATCATTAGTCAGAAAAAAGGCAGTAAGTATATTTATAACACACTTCTACATCATAAATTCAAGGGAAGTAAAATAGTTGGGAGTTGGGTTGGGAGCAAGAGATGGGACAGATTGACTGGTTGAAAGTATATGAAGCAAATCTTAGACTAATTTCGGTTAAATATCGAACACTACAATACAAAATTTTAACGAAAATTGTGGCAACAAAACGTTTACTTTACCAAATGGGCATAACCGTATCGTATAGATGTGACAGATGTACGCAATGTATCGATACTATAATGCACAGATTCTGGTTTTGTCCATTGATCAGAGCATTTTGGAAGGACGTTGAAACATATCTGAGGAACGTAGGCTTAGTTCAAAACATGTCTTTTTTTAACTTAAAAATGATAATTCTAGGAAATGATGAATTGCTGGCTATTAATCATATCATCATCGTAGGCAAAACGATGATTGCTGGCAAATACCTACTTTCTGTTGACATTTTATTAACTATATTGAAAAGGGATATGATCACGGAAAAACACATAGCGCTTAAAAGGGGAAAATTACGTGACCATGAAAAGAAGTGGGCAGCGTTGGTTGAAGCATTTGACCGGTCTAGCTAAAAAGGATTGTAAAAGTGTGTAGGATGCTGGGAGTCAACAGGCGATCAGTTTATTCTGTTGTTTCTCTTCTTATCTTTCCGTGTGAAACGATGTCATAAGCTGAATACATCGTTAAAAAAAAAAAAAAAAAAATTAATTAGTCAACTTTCTTTTGCCACGTTTCTAGGTAGGTAGAGAAGTGGTGACGTCAATATAGTTGGATTGTGAACACTTGTATGTATAAACTACCTAACGGTGAACTGATTAACTTTCAGATCGTGCTTATCTTGGCCTTATGACGGGAGTCCCATACCTACCTGCTCGTATTTCAATGATGAGCATAACTTCGTAATAGGTACTTGTCTTTCCCGTATACCTATGAAAAAGTTTCTTATTACTTTTCAGAGATATCTACGGCTAAACCGCTGTCGGTTTCGACTGAAGGCCGTCCGACGAAAACACACCTATATCTTCCTGTACGAGCGGCGGGAGGACCGCCAGCTGCACCTCGCCATCACAGCGCATGGCGAGGCGCGTATGAGACCGGTGCGAGTGCCGCCGCGGTACCGGCGCCGCGGGACGGCCGGCCGGCGCCGCGCCCAGTCCCGGGAGCGGGAGCCGGCGCCGGCCGCCACCGAGTCGGCCGCCGAGCTGACCACCGAGCCCAGCTCGCGGTCAGCGCGAGAGCAGAGCCGCCGGCCGCTGCCGACCGGCCGGCCGCGCCAGCAGCGGGCCCAGCGGCGGGCGCAGCGACGACGGAACCGACAGCGCCGCCGGCGCCGACAGCGTCTGAGGAAGGAGCGCCAGCGGCGCCGCCAACAGCGCCTGCAGCGGCAGCAGCGGCGCCGGCGGCCGGCGCGCCACGTGCGCGCCGGCCGCGCACAGGTGCCCCCGCAGGCGCGAAGAAGAGCCTGCGGCGGCGGCCGCGGCGCCGCCACCAGCGCGGCCGCTCGGCGCCGCAGGGCATCCTGTTCAGGCTGATGGAGGCGAAGCTGCCGGTGGTGCACGAGGCGCTGCGGCTGGAGCGCCAGCGGCTCGCCCAGTTCGCCAAGCGCTGTCGACAGGACGACAGCGGCTCCTGGCAGGCGCGCACCTGCCGCTCTCTGCGCGTCAAGCGCACCTCCACGACGCAGCCGGAGCCGAGCACTCCGCCGGCAGCCGCAGCGACGGCCGCGCCGGTGACGGCGCTGGCGCTGCGCGAGGCCGCCGCAGACGTCAGTGCCGACAGAGCCGGCGGCGCCAGAGACAGCAGTGCGGTCCGTTACGGCAGCGCGGGCAGAGACAGGAGTGCCGGGGCGCCGAGTGTGTCGCGGCTGGACTGCGTGCGCCGCAGACAGCCGGGCAGGGCGGCCCGCTGCCGCCAGTGGCGTGCCAAAGGAGACAGTACAAACTGATTCTTCAGCACCGCCGAGACTTACGCCGGAGCGGCCTCGTGTAGTGTTTGTGTGCGTGGGTGCGTGTCGTGTCGGACGGCGGAGTGAGTCGCTGAGTCGCGGCGGTCACCGGTCACCAGTCGCTGAGTCGCGGGCAGCGCGTCGACCAGTGGATGGAGCTGCTGGCCGTGAAATCGGCGGGGCGAGCGGTCGACGGCGCGGCCCAAACTAGCAGTCTAGCCGCATCGAAACGTCAGCAAGCTGTAAGGGAGATTCGTATATTTTATGCTATAAAATGTAGAGAATTTCCTTTCCGTGGAAACATGAGCCGAGATCTGTGACTCAGGTATTTGAGCTGAACATCAAGTAGGCGTGCTTTTGTGCTCGTTAGATAGTTGATTTCACGGTCCGAACATAGGCAAGTATGCATATTGTATGCATACCTAAAGATTCTACAACCATCTTGAAATGCATCCAGTCAGCCAGCATTTATAATAGGTACTGGTAATTCGTCTAAAAAGAAAAGAACTATGGTTGCAAACGACATCCTAGCGGAAATATTAATCGGTTAGCTCTTTGATACGAGGCATACGAAGTTCAATTCAGCCTTTATGTAAAACTCGCACAAATATTGAGAAGGAATTAGGGAACATGTTAAACCTAGGTATATTACCCAGCACCAAGGCTGATCGCCCATTGTACTGCCTGCTCGAGAGACATTGCTAGTTATTTCGACTGGCCCCGCGCAATGTTCAGGAGGCAGACGGATGTTGGTAACGTCCTGTGTTTGTATAGCGTGTACGCCAGAAAAAGATGGCTGAATTTCTCCCTGAACGCGGCCGTTTGTCTTCTGCTCAGACTATGCTTGCTGCATCCGTTAACAGTGATCACCTGTGCACGCGTTTAAAGCGCTGTGTCGCCGCGGCCGACAGCTCAGTTGGACTCGATGACCACTCGCCACTAGTCATGTTCAGTTTAGGTGCGTACTATTTAATGGTGTGTGAGTGTAATACCTAAGAGGTCGGCGGTGGACCAGCCTGCGCGCTGGCCGGCCGACTGGCCGGGTAGGGGCCCCGCGTCACCGCCGTACGGGCACGGAGGCAGGCCGGCCGACTTTCTGTGTGGCGGCCGCCCGAGAACCGGTCCGTGTGTCCACATGAAGATCGGTATCGGCGGCTCTGTCCGCCCCGGCCCCCGCCGGGTCTCCCCCCCCCCGCGACACGGCCGGCGCACAGCTCCGCTGCCGGGGAGCCAGTGCCGAGCGGGCTCTCCCTGTCCCCTTCCGACAGCCCCTGTCTCCCTCCGACAACCGCCCTGTTACCCTCCGCCAACCGCCCTGTTACCTTACGACATCCCCCTGTCCCCCTATGTCAGTCCCTGTCCCCTCCAACAGCCCCTGTTACCCTCCAACAGTCCCTGTCCCCTCCGACAGTTCCTGCTACCCTCTGATAGCCCCTGTCCCCCTCCGACAACCGCCCTGTTACCCTCCGACAGCCCCTGTCCCCCTATGTCAGTCCCTGTCCCCTCCGACAGCCCCGTCCCCTCGACAGCCCCTTGTTGCTAGTTATGTTCGCCCCGCCGTGCTCCGGCGCTCAGCCCCCAGCCATTAGCGCTCCAGTGCTCCCGGGCGGCTCTCACAGTGCGCGGCACGGCGACCCTGTGGCAGCCAGCTGCCCGGCCGTGAGGTGCTGAGCTGCGGCCAGCTGCCCGGCCGTGAGGTGCTGAGCTGCGGGGCTGAGCTGCGGCGAGCTGCCGGACGTG